GATTTTTAAGTAATTTTTATGCCCTCCACCATACATACTATGGAGGGTATATTAAGTTCATAATTCCGTTTGCAACTCATCAAAATAAAAATGTTAGACCCAACAAAGTATATATATTCTTGATCAGCGTAAAATTCTAAAATTCAGATCAGTCTTTTGTCTGCAGGCAGGTCAATGTCGGTCCACGATATCGTATAGCCCCCATATAACTTTATCGCCTGGTATTCGGTATTTTAATGATTCTAGCCAAATTTTTCAATGAAATAGTCTGAAAATCCACGAAAGGAGTTCCTTCTCGGTACTTTGCCTCCTGGAAGAGTATTGTCTATTGTCGTATATCCCCCGTATAACAATACCTCCCTGTATTTAGTATTTTGATGATTTTAGCTACATTTTTCAATTGAATTGCATAAAAATTTATTCTAGAAGTACTATCTAAACACTTTACACCCTGGAAGAGAAATGTGTATATAGGTCCACGATATCGTATAGACCACATACAACGTTACCCCTCGATATTCGGTATTTTGATGATTTTAGTCACATTTTTTAATGGAGTTGTTTCAAATTTCGTATTTAGAATTCGTAATGAATACTACAGCATATGACAAAAAATTGCGTATACAGGCCCACATCTTTGTATAGCCTCTATATGATTGTACCTCCCGATATTCGGTATTTTGATGATTTTATCGACATTATTCACCGGAATTGTTTCAAATTTGGTATTTGAGGTTCGTAATGGATACTACAGCCTATGAAAAAAAAATATGTATACAGGCCCACATCTTCGTAAAGCCTCCATATAATTGTACCTCCTGATATTCGGTATTTCGATGATTTTAGCGACATAATTCACCAGATTTGTATCAAATTTCGTATTTAGAGTTCGTAATGGGAACTACAATCTATGGCAGCAAATTGTCTATACAGGTCCACGTCTTCGTTAGGACCCATATATCAGCACCTCCCTATATTCAGTATTTTGACGAGTTTAGATACAATATTCACCGAAATTGTTTGAAATTTCGTATTTGAAGTTCCTAAAAGGTACTACAGCCTGTGACAGAAAAATGTCTATACAGGTCCACGTCTTCGTATAGCCTCCATATAACGGTACCTCCCGATATTCGGTATTTTGATGATTTAGGCTACATTATTCACCGGAGTTGTTTCAAATTCGTATTTAGGGTTCGTAATGGAAACTACAGCCTCTGACAAAAAATTGTCTATGCTGGCCCAGGTCTTCCTATAGGCCCCATATATCAGTACCTGCCTATATTCGGTATTTTTACGATTTTGGGTACAATATTCGCCGAAATTGTTTGATATTTCGTATTTGAAGCTCCTAATAGGTACTACAGCCTGTGACAGAAAATTGTGATTTGATTTCAGGTCCAGGTACGGTACTTCCCTTTATTCGATATTTTGACGATTTTAGTTACATTATTCACCGGAATTGTTTAAAATTTTGTATTTAGGGTTCGTAATGGAAACTACAGCCTATGACAGAAAATTGTTTGTGTACGTTTTGGTACAGCCCCATATAATGGTACTTCTCTATATTCGGTATTTTCACAATTTTGGGTACAATATTCACATTTGAAGTTCCTAATAGGTACTACAGCCTATGACAGAAAATTGTTTATGCAGGTCCAGGTCTTCGTATAGCACCGATATAACGGTACCTCCCTACATTCGGTACTTTGATGGTTCTAGCTACATTATTGTCTATGCAGGTCCACGTCTTCGTATGGATCCCAATATAAGGCGACTTCCCATATTCGGTATTTTTAAAATTTTAAAAGAATTTTCAACGGATTTTTTTTTTAAATTTTCCAAATTCGTTCCAAGTTTTAGAAAGTATTTAATGATCGGCCCTGCCGAACTTACTGCTTTTTTACTTGTTTTTTTTTTCAAGTTTCGTATTTGAATGTTGTAATGGCTTATGACAAAAGTTGCCTATGACCACGTCTCCGTATAGACCGCAATATGTACATGTAACAGTGATTTCCTATATTCGGTATTGTTAAGGTTGTAACAGAATTTTTACGGATTTTATTTTATTTATATATTTTTTTTTAATTTCCAAATTGGTTCCAAATGGACTTTTCTGAAAGCTGAAGGAATTTTCTAACTTTTAACAGAATTTTTAACGAATTTCATTTTTTATTTTATTTTATTTTTTTTGAAAAATTCCAAATTTGTTCGAAATGGACTTTTCTGAAGGCTGAAGGACATTTCTAGTAATTATTTTTTGATGTTGGATGATGTAATTAAAATGAGAAGGTAGGGGTAAACTAACCTCGCCACTACAGCACTGAAGATGATTTCGGACGTTTTGATTTTTTTAGGCATCTTGAAGTTGTTTTCCTCGGTTCTTTTAGGTATTATGAAGTGCTATATCCTGATTTTTTTAAGGAATTGTGGATTTTTGATGGAAATTACGGAAATTTTCATCAACGCCTAGCATCTATTCTCTTTGTTTTCAAATCCCAAATAATTACCTTTAACGAATGAATTTAATGGTTTGTTTTAATTGTGAACAATAATATTGTCTTATTGCATTTTCCTGATGAATCAAAATTAGGGTTGGATTTTGTTCTGATTTGTTTTCCTCTAGACATTGTCATAACATTATATTTATTCAAGATAAACTGAACTTAGAGATAATGTATGATAAGGGTTTGGCTGAAGTTTAAATTGTTGGTCACTCCAAAAATGACACAGACACATATTCTAGAAAGGTGTTACTTGAGTTTCGTTTTTTTTTTCTGATATCATAAGATAAGATAATCGCAAACCGCTAGGAATGAACAGCAGTGATTGTATGTCGTCAGTTAAATGGTATGACGTTCAAAATAATTATTACGCTATGTCTATCAAGACCAAATGGTCATTATCATTACTTGCAGTCCTCACCCCCCTCTCTATACCTCCAATAACAACACCACTAACAAAAAACAATGCACACCACGTCATTATCACAGTCATCATAACAACAACTCGAACTGATGTCAGCCGCATCATTCATTTCTTTCATTGTTTTTTTTTTGTTTGTTCTTTAACTCATTTTTTTCACAAAAAAATAAAACGTTTTTTTAATCACGTTGTTTAATTTAGTTTAATTCTTTGTTTTATGTATGTGTGTATATATATGTATAAATCTATATGTTTCTGTGTGTGAGTTGTATGCATTTTCAATATTGATGATATTAATTTATTTTTTGTTTATTTTTCTTTCTTTTTTTGTGTATGAAATAAATGGTTAATGTGTAATTTGAATGCGCTGCAAACAATGACTGTATTTGTTGTATTTTTAAATAAATCGAATTTTGCAATACAAAAAAAAAAAAAAAAAATATCTGACCTAATCAAATGGCACTTTGAATTGAAAAAAAAAATTATATCACCACATAAATAAATTTATTTATCAACAATGTCTTGTTGTTGTCGTTCTTGCTGTCATTTTTTTGTAATGTGCTATAATTATTTTTATAATTCAAGTTTGTTTTTTAATCGACCTTTTCCAATGTAATTTCAATAAATAAATATTTATTTGAGCTTTAGGTCTGGGTTTATTTTCCTTTATTTAAATCCGATATTTCGCAATGGGTTACATTGCATCTTCAGGGAGATCTACAAAAATACATTTTGATTTTTATATTTCATGTTATCACAGCATTAAATTATTTAACAAAACGATAAAAGACAAACAGAAAAATACACAGAAAATAAATATATTGCTTACATGTAAAACATCTATAAAAGTGTCAAGTTTTACTTAAACCTACGATAGAATTTCACTATCATCGTCTGTGGTAAATATTGCACTGAGTTGTTTTACATATTGCACGATCTATTTTTCTGTGTGAGATGGCGGTAGCAATAAGCTGCGTTGTCGGTGTCGCTCTTATAGTTTATTCTCTTTATTGTTGGTAGGTTATTAATATGTAACATTTCTAAAGTCAATCTCCTGTTGTAGTTACTCTCCGTTTGTAGTATTTTAATATTCTCAAAGTTTGGTGTGTGGTTATTTCTCCTGCAATGCTCAGCAAGAGCTGTCTTTTGTGTCTCATTTTCGTTTCTGCATTTGATGTTTGATTTGTGTGCAGACATTCTCGTTTTAAGTCTGTTTTTTGTTGTCCCAACGTACAGTTTCCCACATTTTTCGTTGTTGTTTCCCTCGCATTCAATTTGGTAAATTACGTTGTGTTTGTCTTCGGTGTTTATTTTGCTTTTAGTGTCGCTGAAAAACTTTTTTAGAGTGTTGTTCGTTTTTTGCGCTATTGCAAATGTATTCTTGTCGTATATGTTAGATTTTAAGAACCTTTCTGACATGTGTGGTATGTAAATCATAGACTTGTATGTTTTTTCCTCTTTTTCCTGCTTTGGTCTTGTTATTAAAAAATTATTTGATCTCCCTATACTCCCACACTCCATTGTGTCTTGTAAAATAAATGTATAATTGTGTATGTCTATGTATTGAATTGCACAAACCCGAACCGACCTACCAACCAACTAATCGTACAATCGATCGGACGACCTTACAATCAACCGCAAAACTTCACAAACCCAAAACAATCTGTGGCACCAACCAACCAACCAACAACAACACTTGTTATGCTGGCCGCCTGTTATTTGAAAATATAAAAAACAACAACAATAACAACGGCGATGACGGCGGCACAAAAACATTAATGTACTGCTACTAAAATATATAATCAAAATGGAACAATCTAACTAAACTATTTTACCACCAATAACACCACCACTATTTCTACCAAAAACACTACCACAAAACCGCCAAAACCATAAAAACACTCACAACAACTCACCCACCCACCCTCTCTCTTGTACCGCTGCTGCTTATGCCGGTATTCATTTGATTTCTTTGCCTGCTACTGTCATGGGCAACAACTACAACCAACTCGCCGATGACGACTACCAACCAAACCAAACCAACCAACAAATTCGACCCATTTTATTCCAAACCAAAGGCTAAGTATTTTAGTAGTATTTCAACTCCTCATCGGTGAATACTTCCCCAAAAGGAAGTTCTTTGCGACAAGAAAGAAGAAGAAGAAGAATAAATAAACAAAAACAAAATAAACTAAAATCAAATTCACATAAAACTCGCTCGCATCACATTACACATAGAATGCCACAAGCCGAGGGCGGTTATGTCTCCCTAGAGGGAACGGGGGCCAACAACAATGGCCAATCGATTTACCAATCGACCACAGAACCCACAGGCCCCGTCTCCGTGTTTGAGTCCGTCAAGCGGGCCATTGGTCAAGTGGTGGGAACTAACAATGCTCACGATTCTGATGATTTGCTCAATAACGGTGGTCGCCAGCCCGTCATAATTGGTTCAAGGTAAGTGGTTTTGCTTTATGTCTCTCGCTCTGGCGTTTTGTTATTGTTATTGTTCTTGTTTTTTTTTTGCTAGCTTAGCTTTGTTGTGTTTGTTTAAACTATTGCATGGCATATGGAATGTGTAGTTTTGTCTATTTTTTTTTTCATAAATTCAATAATTTTCTCTCTCGAAACGTTCTCTTGCTCTCCCCATAAATTGGGGTCATAACCCAGAAGTTTTTTTAAAAGAGAGCAAGAGAATGTTGTTTGAAATTACCGGCATTTAAGTTTAGTGTAAGTACATTTGAAATGTATATTTAAACAATTTTTTTTGGAAATTTTGAATTTTTACAAAAATTTTTGTTATTTTTTTTTATCAAATTAAAAAAAAATATTTTCTAACGTATTTTTCATGCACATTTTTTAAGAATTTTTAACAATTCTTTACTTGCAATATGATATTTAATAACTGTAAAATTGAGGAAAATGTAATACAATTTTCTAAAGAGAAGCGTGACATAAGATGTCTTAAAAAATGAAAATTTGGAAAATTAAAAAAATGTGAATAGATTTTCAAATGAAATGGATATTTGTGCTCCCGGAAGGTATTATTTATATTGTATAGATAGGAAGGATTTATCTTCATAAAGGATTTATAAGAGGTGTTCTATTCACTAATAAGCAGAGCACAGATTTGCTTGTTTTCACTCGGGAGTGAAGCTTGCTCGTGAGCGCTATTGCTCGAAGAGTGTAAGTTTTATATAGAGTTTACTTTTCTTTCTTTTGTTTTGTGTGAGAGCGCTCCCGAGTCACTCCTGTGTGAAAAATCGCTCGAATTACAGTGAGAGTTTCCTTGTTCTAAGAGAGAAATCAAGTCAAAATAAAATATTTGGTTTTTTGATTTGTGTGTTAGCGTATGTGTAACAGCAAAAGGATTTTGATGTTGCTGTGTAATGTAGAAGGTGTGGAAGAGAGGGGAATAGCGGAGTCGAGCTAGTTTCACTCCCTACTTGTATTCGAGCTAGTTTTTCGAAGGTCTGCTCATAACATTCAACAGATCTTACAGAAGCCCAAGATATTTGATGATCGAGATATTTGCTTCGTTCCAGATCTGGCAAAAATCGACTAGTCTTGAGAATTTATCATGATATTACGAAAGAAAAAAGGGTTGGGAACATTTTTACGTTCTTGCTGTTTCTGGAACAAAGCAATAAGGTGTGGGGTAGGTCTTCAATTAATTGGTTACCTACCAAACACATTCTGTTCATTATGATCTTATGGAAGTCCCCTATCTATGGACGGATAGAATATAAAAAAAAACTGTTTTTTGATGTTTCAAAACTGATATACACTAACTGTTATACTGCAGAATTTTCATAAAAATAACAACACCACTACTACTTTAGTGTGGAAAACCGATTTTTAAATATTTTGCACGTAGTATAACAGTTTGAAAACTGTTATACACTAACTGTTATGCAATGGAATTTATATAGGAATGAATATATCACTACTCTAAAGTAAAATAATCGATTTTTAATGTTCTCTTCGTAGTATAACAGTTTCGAAACTGTTATACAATAGCTGTTATACAATAGAATTTCCATAGGAATGAAAATACCACTACTTTAAAGTAGAAGCATCGATTTTTAATTTTCTACGCGTAGTATAACAGTTTCCAAACTGTTATACACTAAGTGTTATACTGTCGAATTTTCAAAAAATGCTACTAATCTACCTCTTACATGTGATTATACTACTTTAGGTTATTTCTTTCAATCCAAGCTGAACCGAAAGGGGATTTATCCACTGAAAAGGGCGGCAATCTTTACTGGGTTCATCATTGTATACCCTACCCTATGGAATAATCCCAAATCAAAAGTTTTCAAATCCAAAGTTCAAAGTTTTTTGAATATATTTCGAATATATTCCAAGCTTTTACGGTCTCAAATAAAATACAAGCTACAAAATTACGGTATTAAGAAACGGGACCCACAGTAAATCTTGATTAAGATATCAATATATTAGATGGCAGATCCCTTCGAATGGAAATTGATACTCAAAAAGCCCTAAAATCGGTCGGTACTCTTATATGAGCCTTGTTTCAAAACGTGGAAAGCACGTGTCTAAAATTTGTCCGTACTACGAGGTTTTATCCAAAGATCCTAACATTTTGAAAATGAGACTGAAATACCAAAGGTTTTGATGTTGACAATTGGTCGAACTGTTATGATTTATCTAATTAGATTCTTGAATTCCGTATTTCGAAATTGGTCTTCGAAATACCAAAGTAACCCCTGGGGCAAATAGTGGACTATTTTGAAAGGTTTTCTGAATTTGTTTTTTGAAGTTTTTTTTTTGGCATTTATGTGTTCTACCTATTAATATTTTAATGTCAATATCATAGTCCTAAAACTTTATGTCGAAACATGGGCCGATTCTGAAAAAAAAATCCAAAATTATTTTAAATACTATGAAATTGCAAAAAGTGAATTTTTTTAAATTTGGAATTGCAGCCTTTTCTTCTGGATCTTGGTGCTGAGGCCTTTAACACTTAGAAGGAACAGTGATATGAAACTTTTACCAAGTAGTGGATCCAAAAGAATCTGAAACGCTAAATGTCGACTAATTTGGCTGGGATAATGCCCTCGAAGCCACCACAAGAATTAAAATAGAGATGTACCGTTTTGTAGAGCTACAGCTCATGGAGAACCTATATGGAAACTGTTTCCGGAAAAAAAAATATTTTTTTTGATTTTTTTTGTAAGAAAGGAAAAATCTTGAACTTCTGGTGGTACCAGTGGTATATGGAAACTTAAAACTGTTATTCTTTTTAATTTTAATTTCAAGTTTCAAATGAAAATCGCATTGGTATAACTGTTATACAACATATATGTAAAGCCTTAAGAGAGACTTCCGAAGATCATACAAGACATTCTATCTAAAGCCGGAACGTAGGCAGGTTGGGGGCCGTGCCTGTATTTTCTGAACATTTCCGCAGAAGATATTTGTCTGTTATCACCAACCCCGAATTTTCTCACATTTTTTGTACATTTTTGCGGAAGAAAATTTGGAAGACCAGCAGAATACTTTCTATAGACGAAGGCAATAAAAAATCTGAAAAAAACCTTCATGAGTTGATCTAACCACAAAAATCCTCGAAGAGCTTTTGTGTCCCATGAACAGTTTTAGGAGATCTTCAATCTGAAGAAGGCCTTAATTAGGTTCTCAATAAGATGTTTTGAAATCTTCTTTCTTTCGAGATATCTTCCTACCTGTTATGGTCTATGATACCTCTTTTATGTATAGAGGTACTATAAACAAACCTTCAGATACCTTCAATTGTTTACTGATCGTTGAACCCCTTAAAAATTAATATAATTTTTCATTTGCGCCTATTTTAGCGCATTTTACTTCTTTGTTTAAAAAATAAATAAATATTGAAATTGTAAATTAACAAATAACCATAATATCTTAACAAATACATTTCTCTCTCTCTCTCTCTCTTCGCCACAGATAATTAATAAATTATCTCAACTCCATTGGCTTAAAAATGCAGATATTTTTTTTCTTATTTTATCTGTGTGTGTATTTGTTTGTGTTTTTCTGTTTATAAACAAAACAAAGACAATACAACGAACTGACGGCATCCCACTCACCTCAGAGTTTTTGTTGTTGTTGCTCTTTGTTAATTATATCAGAAAAATTCCAATGAAATTACCATAAACATGAATGAACTGGTTAAAGCCGGTATTTATTTGATCGACGACGTCCCGTCTCATAACTTCATGATAATGTCGATGTTCAACTCAATATTTTAAAATGAAAACGTTTACAACCGGCAGCCAATAGTCAAGCGGTAATGAATAAATTAAGCAAAAAATGTAAACAAAACGTAAAATTAAATGGCAGCGTAAAATGCCGGCAGAAAAACAGATAGTGGCTTCGGCGGCGGCGGCGGGAGGTAATGTAAATATTTTCAATTACCGCCGATGCGCCAATCAAGTTGTGGAGTGCGAAAAATAGCAAAAAAAATAATTAAAACGAACTCAGCAAGCAAATGCACTCGGCTAGCAATAATTTATGGGAAATGTTTCTAAACAAAAATAAAAGCAAAAAAAAAATTTAAAAAATTGCCTTATAATTTGTCATGATCTGCTGCTGCAGTGCCATTAAATAAATCCCGTAGCGTTGTTTATTTTTTACTCCACAATTGAATTTAAATAATTTTATTGCGTGATTTGCTGTTTATTCTCTATGGAGATTTGAATATTTTATGTATTCAAATTGCTTGGGCCATTAAGAAATTGGCATGAATGAAAGAATATTACAAGCAAATCTCACTAGCCAATTTCATTTGGGTGTCAGGACATTACTGTCATTTTGTACGCCGGGTGGGGTCATGAAGACATTTGCCAAAAAATACTCGCAAATGTGATTTATGTATGTTTTCAAATATAGTCTAGGCCAAGAAAAGAAACCAACATTTGCTGTGTATGACCCAAATCGATAAGGAAATCTCCAATCGTTTTTGTCATACCCATGCCGGGGAGATTGATACAATCACATGCCAAATGTTCTTTGCAATAAATTGAAGTAGCACCACCACCATCTGTGGGAAGGCTACCTATTATTTTTATTTTGCCAAAATATTTAAAAAAAAACTTTGCGATTCAAAATATTTGAGGACCGATACGACCCAATTCAGCAACATTTTTACTTTCCTTTCCTTTTTTCGAACTGTTATAAAACATGTTTAGGCTACACAGCTGGTACATTCATAATTTTCATTCTCCACTATTTACATACAAATATACACCTGCACACATACCTACATGGCATGTTCTTTTTATCCTCTCTCCCCTTATTTCCTCTCGCTGTTGAAATGTATATTTCATGTTTGCGGATTTCAACAAAGTGCAGCAGTACATTGCAATTACCCCACTTTATTTTGAATACATTATAAAAGTGAATTTGCAAGTCAAGGCGATTCACTCACTCACCTTTGGGTTCACCCTACA